CATTTCGTGGGGGTGAAAATAACTCATCTCGATATATGAAAATATACTGCATAAAATTTTACATCAAAAAGACAAAAAAAGAGAAAACTGTTTTAGTACATTTTAGAAAAGTCACACAAATTGTTAGAAAACAAAATCTGAAAATGAATAAAGATTACAGGAAATGCCAAGCAAGTAACATTGACCCCCCTTAGTAGATCTACTGTTAAGGAATCTCGGAAAACTCAGACTCGTATCGTACAATAAAATGCGTCGAGTTTTCATTTTACGATTTGGCAAATCGTTAAGTGGAGCCATAAAAATCCGTTGGCCGATTTCTAGGAACAGTATAACCAACGAATCCCATTACGACCGCTTGCTACGCTCGCAGTGGCTCTCTTCAACGATCGTCGACGTAATCGCCGGATTACCGGAAACGTACGAACTTAGGCCACCCTTACGGTTTCCCACGGGCCGCGGATAGATACATACGCACCCAGTTAAATCGGTCGGAGCTTGTTAACGTTCTGGCGAACGTGCCGATTCTAACGTACAGTCACGGCCGACGGTGAACTCGTTTGAAACAATTTCGTTTCCGACGTAATTACATCCGTGCGATGTTGTTCCTTAAATAAAACGGGTGCTGACCTTCGTCCCTTGCTACGAAATTGTGTCGTGGAAAAATAAAGAGTGGGATTAATCAAGAGTCTTAACGAAGCCAAGCAAAGGTACGGAAACTGCATTAGAAATCTCGGGAAACGTCGCCGCGAAGAATTAAAACTCACGCGGAAAAGGGGATGATCCAAAAAAAAAAAGAGAAAATGCAAAGGACGTGGAGTGAAAAACGAGGTAGGGGAAACGTCGAGGGGAGAGAGAGAGAGTGCGCAGATATGAACCACAGGAGACGAAGCAGAATAAAAAAATTTAGAGAGAAGCGTGCGAGAGTGCTCGAATAAAAAGCAAAGGCGCGAAGGTAGGGAATCAAAAAAGCGCGTGACGGGGCAGAGAGGATACGTGAAAACACTGAGAAACTGGAGAAGACGCGTAAAATTCACAGTGAAAAACTTCGGCCGGTTCTTTGAACAACAGGGAAAAAGTCGAACATGGATTCGTTAAACGAATCCGCGTCGATGCCGTTCGTTTTTTAATCGCATAACCCGAGCGAGTCGCGAGCATGTTCAGCTATACTAATTACTGCAGATTAAGCAGTAACGATTTGGTAGCGAGTCAGACCCGGGATAATCTCGGATAATTTTCACGTTGATACTTGTAAGGATTTAGAAGGCTGATTGTTAAGCGTTCGTCGACTAATCTACGGATTAATGCTTTCGCGCTAGAAAGAACGAGCGCGGAAAATCGGTGAATTCGACTAAAAAAGAATTACTATATCACTTTCTCCGCCGGTGGAACTGAATTCGCGATTAAGCGCCGCCGTTCGGCGATTCACGTCGGTCCGCGAATAATTGCTCCGACATTCATACGACCGGTTCTCGTTTTCGATGATGTATTTATGACTCTTCGACGGTGAATCAATTTAACACTAGAAAGACTGAAACTTAGTATATACCTATATTGCCCAAAGCNCAAGTAACATTGACCCCCCTTAGTAGATCTACTGTTAAGGAATCTCGGAAAACTCAGACTCGTATCGTACAATAAAATGCGTCGAGTTTTCATTTTACGATTTGGCAAATCGTTAAGTGGAGCCATAAAAATCCGTTGGCCGATTTCTAGGAACAGTATAACCAACGAATCCCATTACGACCGCTTGCTACGCTCGCAGTGGCTCTCTTCAACGATCGTCGACGTAATCGCCGGATTACCGGAAACGTACGAACTTAGGCCACCCTTACGGTTTCCCACGGGCCGCGGATAGATACATACGCACCCAGTTAAATCGGTCGGAGCTTGTTAACGTTCTGGCGAACGTGCCGATTCTAACGTACAGTCACGGCCGACGGTGAACTCGTTTGAAACAATTTCGTTTCCGACGTAATTACATCCGTGCGATGTTGTTCCTTAAATAAAACGGGTGCTGACCTTCGTCCCTTGCTACGAAATTGTGTCGTGGAAAAATAAAGAGTGGGATTAATCAAGAGTCTTAACGAAGCCAAGCAAAGGTACGGAAACTGCATTAGAAATCTCGGGAAACGTCGCCGCGAAGAATTAAAACTCACGCGGAAAAGGGGATGATCCAAAAAAAAAAAGAGAAAATGCAAAGGACGTGGAGTGAAAAACGAGGTAGGGGAAACGTCGAGGGGAGAGAGAGAGAGTGCGCAGATATGAACCACAGGAGACGAAGCAGAATAAAAAAATTTAGAGAGAAGCGTGCGAGAGTGCTCGAATAAAAAGCAAAGGCGCGAAGGTAGGGAATCAAAAAAGCGCGTGACGGGGCAGAGAGGATACGTGAAGTTACGAATTGTGTTTCATTATTTATTGAAAATTTGAACGACGATATATCGTCGTTCGGTACTAAAAGGGTTAAGAACGTGTGCGATCGTTCTGCGAATCTCGTTTGCTATTTTTTAAGACGGCGTTTTGTAAGCAACTGATACGTGCCGCGGGATTGATACGTTCGAGCTTCTCCAGTCCTTCGCGGATCGCGTACGAAGTCGCGAACCAGACCGTATTTCCACTGAACGAGAAATCGTCACGGTTTGAAAAACTGCTGCGTTTTCCTATTCCGTTGTACGGAATCGGTCGAAGGATCTGTACGACTTCCTTCGAATTCTTTTTTATATAAATTCAATCACCGGCGTGGCGCGAGTAATTGAAACGTAGAAACAAATCTCGTTCGCCAGCCTATTTCCTAAGAGTTCTCACGAGTTTTCCTCGGAATCGAAACTGACGCAGCGAAACGCTGACAAAACACAGCCGGGGTTCCGTTGCGAGAAAGAACACGGCAAGGAGTTTCCCGGGTATAGGAAGGAAGAAGGAAATCACGCGTGTCACGGCAACGATTTACGAACGCTTTATCGCTGAGAGCGAACAGTACGGTAATTCGGTGACAAACGAGCTCGTCGGTAGTGCGTTCACCGTGCCCTACTACGAGCTCGTTGCTAAACGCCCGGTTGCCACCGAGTCGTTTATCCTGTTCCAGTGGACCAGTTTTCGCTTCAATTTGTACTTTGCCAGCAAGTGTCAAACTGTACTGCAGCCAACTTGGTCGTTCCGCTTTCGAAGACATTCGTTTTCCGTTACCGAACCGAGTGAAAAAATACTGAACGTACTCCGATTCGACGACGACGACGACGACGACGCGACGTACGAATCGACGGATACGACATTGCGCGTTAATGGGTCGCACGAAGCAATTTCTGACTATATTTTATCTACGTCAGTGAACCATCGTCGGAACAGCAGACGTGGGAGAAAGGAAACGTACTCACAGGCTGGAAATAGCTCAATTGGATGGCGGAGCGATCATCCGGGAAACGGGAAGATCCGGGTGAAGAAATCACAGTCCAGTAAATCCGTTCGTTTCTATAGAACAGAAAATAAAACAGTTTATAGCGTATTTTATTTGATCGCACGAACTTCTTGTATACGAGTACGGATGCCAGTCCCTCGGACCGATCATGTTTTGCATCTACCGACTCTATTTCGCAATTATATAAGCGAGTGGATAAAGTTCTAAGAATATCTAGCGTTCGAACGACTAATAGGCACGGTTGCTCGTAACTGCGATTTAAGAATGTATTGGCTATACAGTCAATCCCAAAAGTTTATGCACTTTAGAAACGCATTTTTTAAAAAGAAATCAGGCGTCGGAAGAACATTGCTAATAATTAACAAAAGAAAAAGATTTTCGATTTTTCCGAGATTTTTCCAAGGGGTACCCCTTCAATTTCTTCCAGATTTTCGTTTTTGGCCAATAACTCCTAAACCGTTGGAC